CTCCCTAACATTCTTTGTTTCATAACCTTGAACAAATGTTCGGGATAAGTAGTTCGCCAGATATTATTTTTCATCTTCTCGTTTCCTAATGACAAGTTTTTCGTACATTTGTTGTAATGTAGAAATCAGTGAAGTGAGAACGTCTAAAAAGAATCTTACTTATTATTATTATCGACAGAGTCAAATGCCGCTTTAAGGTGAAACGATACAACTATTGTCGGACGCCGAAATATGTGTAATATATATAATATACAAGACTAGAGATTGATTGTCATTTTTGGACTCATAGAATGTAAGATTATACCGTTATTGCTTAAGAATAACAGGAGTCAATAGTCAATATCATCATCGGTCAGAACATAGGAGGTTAGTCCACAAATAAGGATAAGTAATGCCAAGTCCTGATTCTGACTTGTGCATTTTCTCTAAGGAAATCGGTGAATCATTAGTAAATAACTGTACTATTCATAAACTTTATTTGTAAAATAGTAAAATATTTCATTTGAAGGATTTTTTATTTTACTAAATAACTACAATGGTAGAGGCTGTAGATAGACTACTGGAGTTAGGCTCTGTCTCCACACACTTCTTGTAATATTGATATTAAATATCATAAATAGTTCTGCTTTAGAATCTTCTTACAGCTAGGTTAGAGAAAAGAATTAAATATTTTTCATTTTCACACACTGACTCTTGTTTTCAGTGTATCCAAGACAGTAATTAAATTTATTGTACATATTCACTTTTATCCATGGTAAACTTTATATAACATTTTCAATGAATTTCATTATTATACACAAATATTTTTAATTTTTTATGAACTTGTTGTCCAGAATACAAATAATTTGGGTTACAAATGAATTTAATTGTCGTTTTTGACTAATAAAGATGTAAATGCTTATTTTCTGAATAAATATTTTCTCAGTTTTGACTTGTAACAATAAAATAAACTCTAAAAAAAGGATGTGTTAATTTTAGATCTTCCAGTGGATTCTTCTAATTCAAGCATTACCAATGAAAAACGATTGTTTCTATTTGCCATTTAGTATTCTCAATTTACAATATCAAAATGAAAAACAAATAATTTAACAAATCAATAATGATTCTATGAGAATGCTGAAAAAAGCATTGAATAAACAGAAATAGTTTTGTTTAAATATTTTTCAGTCACTGGTGTTCCCTATTATTTATCTCAGTTTCTATCTATGTATGCTAATGACACTGAAAAGTAGTCTCATTTTATTGAGCACGTTGTACTTTCTCTTGTCAAACAATTTTTTTTCATGATTTTCAGTTAACGATAAATCAGAATAGTGTTTAAATTTGCTGACTGTCATCAGATAAGAATACACAAACTTGGTTGTTAGAGTGTATGCATGTGCATATGTTGATGCGTATAATTACGAATACATACCTGATGTACCATAAAAAAATAATGGAGCCATAAATAGTGGTGAATAGAAAATATCTGTATTTATTGTATTAGTAAACTGATAACAAATTTCTATTTCACTAAAATAGATTACAAGGTGTATCCAGTGAGAAGTGGGAATTTTCCCCAGTCGTCAAATTATGGAATGGGAGGCAAATTTTATTTTATACGATTATAAAAGTTTTAAACAACTTGTTTTAAATAATGTTTCTTGAATGTTATAAAGCAGGTGTGGTCACCAGTTGCAAAGTTATTATTTACGGAAGCGATAAATAAGGTCTAAATAAGATAGAATACATTTCCACAACTCAGTTGATGACGTTATTTCACCTAGATAAATTAGTATCATTGACAACCAGAAACTTTTATTGTTTGACAAACTATCTAAAATATTTGTCTACTCAGCTTTTTACTTATCAATTTTTGTTTAGTTACGTTTACGATTTCGTGTGATATTTTCGTCATTTTTCCGTTCACTGTTTAATTTGACAAACTCTGATAAAAATTTTCGGTGCAATATAATTTAGATATTTGTTGTTGAATAGTTAAGTGAATTATCGGCTGTTAATATTCTCAGTTTTATTAGGCTGGAAATTTTATTCAGTATACAACTGTGCTCTAGTTGCAGCTTGTTACATAAAATGAATTATGATACTTTAAGGTAATCCAGTTAATCTTATTAGTCTAATTACTATTTAATAGGGGAAAAACACTGCTCTATTGATAGAATTGATGTAAACTCTTTAATTTGCACAAAGTTTTATTTCAGTGAATATTAAAACTCAAAGCTCGTGGATGAATGGTCAGAGAAGTTGTAATACGTTTGTTTGACATTATATTAAGAGCACCTTATTTAATCATTTATTCCAGACGAATAAATGGGATGAGCTTTATCAGATTATCACTGTTACATATCAGACGAAAACGATTGCAACAGCAGTTTATAACTGAACATAGAATACTGAACAGCGTTTATCATTGCTAACAAGTCATACAAGACTTATAACCAAGTTTGATGGGCTTCCATGATTTACATCGAAAACCAAATGTTTGTAAATATACTTTAAAAAACCTTTCAGATAAGTAGAGGTTATAATTTTGTTTGTTATCTAGTGAGAAAATCAGTTGTTTTATACTTGATGTTATTAAGCTTAAAGAATTTTTTTTCATGACGATTCGGAAGTAAGACAATACAACTATTGCTCAACTCAGTTATATTTTCTAGAGTAGGCATAGTCATCTGAATAACCAGAAACATATATTTATAAATATATAATACAATGATAAAGTTGACTGTTAGCAAATGATTTGTATCTTAGTCAATATAAACAGTTATAAACTCACAGATTTTCTTCTTATAATAGGTAAAATATTGTTTTAAGTGACAATTAATCCATTCAATTTTTAAGCTGATCAAAAGAGAAACCTGATACAGTGAAAAAAAAAGAAATAAAACGTTAGTAAATTAAATCGTTTTCATTAGTTATAGTTCATACTAGTAAATTAAAAATTATTTCTTCTAACTACTGTATACAATAGAAAAAAATAATTATATAATTTCACTATTCTTAGTTAAAAACAAATACTGTATCAATAAAAATGTATAAAGTTTATTGAGTGATATAATTAATCATTAAAAATGTTCATTAATTTTGCCGATTCTTTATATTTTGCATAATTCATAAGTAGAATAAATAAATAAAAAAAAAAGTAGATTATCGTAGACATTTTCTTTGTATTGGATTTATTCAAAAGTGAAATGATTTATTATTCTTAATAAAATTAATATTTATATTTAATAAAATTAACTATATTTTTTGTGTCCAGTGTATAATTTGTCAAATTTAATGAAATTGTTTCAATTTATATAAAAAAATAATCAATTTTTTTATTACACACTATAAACTCATACATTTAAAAGTTAAGAAAAAATGTACCAACTCTATTTCTTTCTTTTCGTTATGAATAAAATGTTCGAGTAGTTATTTTATGGTGAAATCATGAAATTTTAATACATTTTTACAATTTTATAAATTTGTTCCTTAACAATTGTATTATTGAAATATAATGTTTTATTAAATTATTTTATGCACTCTTTATTACCATATATTCAAATGTATATTTAGACATTGTGTTAAGTAATTTTATACAATTACGTTGCAAAGAAAATTTTCCATCATTACATTTCAATACAATTTATTTCTTATTTACATCAGATATATTTATATAAGCTTGAAAATTTCTAATGAGTTTAGCAAATTTATCATTTTAATCTTCGAAAGTGTTAACTAATTATGAAATAGAAAGAATATATATTCATCAAAATACCCGTATATACTTATAAAATATTTTTTGTTATAGAAACTAATATTTTACTGATCAAATGAAAGCGTTTTGAGAATAAAGTAGAAACTCTATCCATTACTGACGAGTGAAGAGCTGAAAATGAAAATAAAACTCTTACTTCACATTCACTGTACACTACATGGATAAAGACTGGACAAAATTTAGATAAAACAAAGTTTTATACTGGATTTAAATCGATAACTTTGAACTGAATACTTTCAGAATAATAGTGTTTAGTATTTTAACTTAATGAACAGTTTTATTTTTCCGGTTCAATGGTCTGTTAAAATAATTCTACTAAACTGATTAGAAAAGTAATGATAACAATGACTTACACTGTTACTAAATATGCTACTACAAGTCGCCTATTCGTCAGTGCTAACTAGATTGCAAAAATAGAAGTTTTCTGTCAGCTATTTATTTATTTATCAAATATAAATTTTCTTTATTAACTCAGAGAATTATTCAATATGTATAAAACCTATTCAATCCTTATTTCAATTGTTTCACCACAGCTTAAATGTTTATTTTCCTACATTTAAAGGATTATGATTTCTGAGTTTCTTTTCCTTAGATTTTTATTTAGATATCATTGTTAATAAATAAATAATTCAGTGAATATATCCTCTATTCACCGTTTTAGATGCTATGGGAAAATTTCCGGGAAGATTTTAAAATTAAATCTGTCATTGTTTCATTAGACACATTACATACACATTACTCAAGTGTTTTTACTAACAAGACTTAGTTACGATTTAAAGAAGCTGATATTATCTACTTGACAAGTTGTTATACACTATTGTAACAAATATCTTTTATCTAAGAATAATATTACACAATATTCAATGTCAAACAAGCTGCATTAATAAAGTTATATTATTGTTGTTGTTGATAGTTGTTATCCTTGAAGTTCCAGTTGTCCTCAAAGATCAGATAGCTACTGTTTCCGCTATGCTGAGTCATTCAGTTTTTCATTGGATTTCTATTAACTCTTCTAAATCCTTTATTGAAATTTTCTTAATTTACGGCTTCGATTTATTCAAGACTAATGATACCCTCAATTAACATGTATTACTGTGTGATAAACATTGTTTCCAAAGCGTCACGACAATTTCAACTAATTATTAAGTATGATATGTTTCTCATAATTTATAATATTTGCAAATTAAAATTTTGTTACTGTTTTATTAAATCTGGACATTTTATTTTACCACCTTTACAGCCTTATGATCCATTAGTCATTCGTCAAAAACGACACTCCAGATATAATCAATCGATATATTCAGACTCTATTCGAAATACAACAAACAGCAAATTACAACATCAGGCAAAAAGTGAATATGAAGAAATGAAAGTACTCAAATTGAAACCAACAACTTCAACACAAACTAAAACTAATTGTCATCCTACACAATTCATTAAAGCATTACATCATAATAATAATACTAATAATAATAACCCATTACGTTTTCGATATAACAGTAATAGTACTGTTGCTGCTACTGCGATTTCTGGTCATACAGATAATTCAACTAATAGAACAGATTTCAATGACACTGAATCAAATGTTGACAATGAATGTACCGAAGAGAATCCACGAAAATCTTGTGAAACATTTGATTTTTTAAAAATGCCTGATATTTATGAATTAAATGTTCAAGCGGCTAAAAGACTTAAAAGTCAAATAAATTGTTTAAAATATAAACGAAAATGTCAAATACGATTAATTGCATTGATTAATGATTTATTCAATTCTGTCTATGCTAAATCCGATTCAACAATGAATGCTCTAGGTAAGTTATATAATTTTTAAAATAATATTACAATTCATTAAAAACATATTGATGTGTTTGGTTAATGTATTCAAAATGAAAACAGTTTTATATTTTTTCTAGTTATTAACTTCTAACTGTTATTAATCAACTAATATAAAAATAACATTTGTCACTTCAAACTGACACTTTTGTTAGTCTATTGTAAATGGGTTTACTTGAATATTTAAAATAATAATATTTACACACAAATAAATCACTATACAGAGTTATTTTTTAGATATTTACTCTGAGAATACTTTATTACAATAAATATATTTATGCTTAAAGTTAAAAAGTAGTGTGAAAAAAGTATTTTTCAGTCTTTAATTTCAATCGCTCTGAACAGAATTTCTGTTTATTAGTTGAAATTTAACTTAAGTAATTTTTCATTAAATAAGACAAGACGACAAACTGTTATAGTGTTTGATTTATCGATATATATTCATAGAAAACTAAAAGTAAATGGATTATATATTTTTAATTTATTATTAAAAACGGTATTATTGAACAGTTATGAAAGAAAGCTCTAATTACTCTTAATTTATACCAATGATCTATTGTTCTAATTTGTGTACGAGAATATTAGTTTTATCATACAACAACAAGCCAAAATAAAACAGTCAGAAAAAAAAATGATAAATTACCATTATGTCATAGAAGAAACAATGAAGAGCACATGATCAAATAAACGATTTCTTAGAAGAATATCATTTACTGACGTTGTATTTCATTTAAAAGGCGTGATAGTTTATTTAAAAAGCAGACAAAGATTATATCATAAAATGTTTGAAAATTTCAAAAACCAGAATAAATATGCATCATGATCTAAATGTTATCAAAAAAATGTACGGTAAAAATCGTTTAAGGATCAGAACTAACTATTCGCTTGACGCATATGACGAAGAAATTAGAAATATAGGTGTGTTGATAAAAAATAACTGAATAACGATCATGAAAAACTGAAAGAACGTAAGAGCAACTAAATACTAAATAGGAAAAGTTAGAAAGAAAGTTAAGATCGTTGAGTGAATAAAGTTACAATTAAAGCAGATATTTAAGTCAGATACATTACATAGAATTTTATGTATAATTAGATTATCAGTTAAAGTTTTACTACTTTTTCAAAAATGCCTGATAATGTTTAGCACTCGATCGAGTAACTTTTTCCAGTGTGATTGTAGTGTATAGTTAGAAGAAGAAAGTAAGAAACTAGAAAACAGTGATTGAATTAAATTTATTTGCGGATTAGATAAATTAGATGTGCCTAATTGAAACCAGTTATTTTTAAGCAGAGTCTACAAGAAGAAGAATATGGAAGCTGTTTATAATAATCATTATTTTGTTGAAACGTGATTATAAACAAATGTACTTCATTTACTTTAGTATGTTAGCTTGATAATTAGTCATCTCCGGTGTATATAAAGTTAATGGCATGTTGTTATTTTTAAATGATATTTTGATTATCATTTTTGTTTATTAATGTTGAATTTTGACTATCTTGCCATAAAATACTGAGACTTGATGATAATAAAAAATTTTGAAAATATGAGCATTAGAATAACAAACATCTTTTGCAGTTAATTTAATGTTAACCGAAAATTTGATAATCAGTGAATGGAAACATGTTAGAATGTATGTAGACATTTTTCCATGACTAACTTTTTATTTTGTGATAATATTTATATCAAATTTTTATGGTCGGTTACTTCTACCTAGTTTACTAATAAGTTGTATATACACGTTAAACGTGTGTACTGGACAGCATCCTACTTATACACTTCATTTGTTGTGTCTACATGTTAAGCATTATATTTATATAATTTTAGTAATTATATATTACTGATTAGAAAGATTCATCAAGTAAAATCTAAAATATTAAAATTACTCATTGAATTTATTCAGGAAAAAAAATTAACTACACTTTACAGTGAATTGTTCAAATTGTTAAACCGAAATTCTGAAACTTAATCAATTCATTGGTTTTACAAGAGTAGGTTTTTAGCAGTGACTGTAGTTATTTATAATAAATTAGCTTAAGAAGTATTCATCAATAAACAACTAGTTAATGTGCTTATGCTCATCTGATGTCAAAAAATCTAACATTATAAAAGTTGAAAACTAAGGATTTCATTCTGATTTTGTTAAAACTGAATTATGAAGTTAAAAAATAATATTCCATATTTTCTGTCGTCAATTAATGAACAAAACACACACACATAACAACAATGGATACTCCTTTAGTTCTCTCCATAAATAAAGAAATCTAAGTGAGTATATGGAAATAAATAAGCTTATAAAATATCTTCGTTTTCTTGTGTTTCCTCTTCATTAAGGCCAAAAGCGAAATAACGCGTTATTTACTCTAAGTGACTCTCAATTATTACTCAGTCAATCTCGATGAATTATGAAAATTCATCAAAAGTTTATCCAAATATTTATCAACACATATAGGACTTAGCCATTTATATATCTACAGAAACCTTTTTAAGTAAGATAAATAGATAATAAGTTTAATTAATTAAATCAGAAAAGTTGAGCCGACAGGAAAAGGACTTAGGAAAACTCGAAGCAGAACAAATTAAGTTAATGAATAACTGTTTTGTTTATTTTAATTAAATCATCTCTTCTAATTAAAAACAAAAATCAATCTTTTTATTTATGTTGTATAACGTCCATTGAAATTTGAAATTTATCCGTAAAGCCAATCTGATCACTTAGGAAATCATGAACTACAAAAATGAACCATGAACCAAAGCATTTTATTGCAATACGTCTGTATATTTGAACAGAAATCACTTTAACCCTAACATTGGACTTGCACAAGTCACATCAGAATGCCCTTTACCAGTGAGATACTCCCAAACATTGAGAGATCTTAGTTAGTTAAAAAAATACATTTTCTTCAAGATTATTATTAGTTTCAAACCAGCGTTGAGCAAATCCATCATGTCCACTAAATTTGTGCAGATTCTATACAAACTTTTGGAAAACATGAACACTTGGCCAGAAACTTCAGTCACTCAGCTGAAATGATATATATTGCGCTAGATAACCAATATAATTTCATTAGTTTTAAAGTGGAGGAATGTTTTAGCAATATCAGAAATCATCCCATTTGTAAAAACCTCGTTTCACCCACTTTGATAAGGGCTGCCGAGATGGTGGAGAAAAATTGGAGCTCAGATAGATGATTATGATAGAGTTTCGTTCTTTGAGCTGGATGTTTTGGTTGTTCAAAAGAACAACAAAGGCTCCTTACCCTACAGATTCAACTCATGGAATGGAACTCCATCATCATAAGGGCTGCCAGATAGTTATACTAGCCTTCACAAAAGCTGTTTAGAGAGAAACAAAATGAAAAGATCTGTACTTGTCAAGTGAGTTATACGAATATCTTGAGAAAATATATGTATGTATGTAGAACAGTTTTCCTTTTACTGCAAAATAACTTTCTGTTCACAATGTAATTTTCCAAATTTTAGAATCTTCATCAGAAAATCAGTTACAAAAGTCAAGTGAATATATATTTCAAAAATTATTTGGACCAATAAGTAAATATTTACGTCTTACTAAACAACATACTTATCATACTAGAAGTATGATATTAAATCGGCTTAGAATATATTTACAATACAATATGTCAGCTGAATCATTTCTCAGCATCTATTTCAATCCACCAAATGAACTATTTTACTTACAATGCTATGATCATCAATATGATAATAAAATTATTAATTCTAGAAATAATAATAATAATAATAATCAACATCATAAACATAAAACATGTCAAAAGGATACAAATATTTTGAAATTTTGGAAAACATCTTCAACAGAAAAGAGTATAAATAATACATTGAAACAATCAGCCAAAAGTACAAATATTAAAAATGAGTTTAATTCAAATATAAAAGTATTTCAAACATGGAAATTAAGATTATGTGATCCATTGATTAATTCTTCAGTGTATGATGGTTTTCGATTTGAATTGGTTCGTTCAAATGTGAAATTATTTTGTGTTGTCAAACAATTTACAACACTTCAATTGATTAAAGCTAATCTACCAGTTTGGTGGTCAGGTATTACATATGAACGTAATAATATGATGTTACCACCGTCTACTGTTGAAACATGCATTGGAAGTTCAGAGAATACAGCTGAAATTAGGCTTTAAATATGTACATTTCATTATTTTTTTCTTCCAATAAAACATTTTCGAAATATAATCTCTTACAATTATATTTTTGTTTGTTTTGTAAATATCCAGGATATCAATTAGACAATATTTTCTATATTCTTGTATTCAGAGCCATGAAAATATTGTCTGAAATGGATAACAGTCTAAAATATTATTTCAAGTACGCACTATATTGCATTCGATTGTTGCAAAAATAGAAAATAAGACTTAAAATCAGACTTATACCAATCATTCACGTACAGTTGTTTTTTAGGTATTTATTGTCTTAAAATTGAAACAATGATCGAGTTTGGATGAACAGTGTCGCAAAGATCGTATTTCAACGCTCATCAAAGATTCCACTGAATGAATCATGAAACCTATGTACTTTTAAATTCTGCTATTCTGGCCATATTGTAATAAAATAACCTGTACCTAATTTTAGCACGATGACTGCCAAGAAAATCTATTTTCAGCAATCATTTAGTTGATGTCATCCGAATAAAACCAGAGTATTCTTACTGTTCTAAGCCGAGGGTGTAGATCTTTTTCATTCATGAGGCATCTGTTATAACATAAACAATAAATAAAGTTTTCAGAAAATGTTCTGATGTTATAGATCATTAGGAGACCGTAATACTAGTGCAAAATAAATATGTCACAATTAACTCGCCTTTTTCTATCATCTGTAAATCAGCAATATTTGCCAGACTTAAATTGATATCTATCTGGTAAAATTTTTCTTCATTAATATTTTAACTCATTAGTGAAGAACACTTATGAGGAAGAAAACATTGGTGATGTCTAATCATAGAGTAAATGGCTGTGAGATTTACTAAGATTAAAATATATTCGTCCTTATTTATAGCTAGTCAATTTTCTTATTTCAAAGAAATCAAGTTTAATTATTCCTTTTTTAAACTGTAATCATTTCTTCCAACAGAAATCCTAGTTGTTATTTATTTAATTTGTTTCAGTAAATTTCTACTGTTGTATGATCAAATCTAATCCTAGTTAATGATTTGAAATTTTTCCTGATTTAGCTTTTGTTCAATTGACATACTTGATATAAACAAGAAATTAAAGTGTTACTTTAAAATTAAGTGTTAAATAGTTAGTTAATCTGCAAGGTACATCAGTCTCAGATCATTCATCTAATTAGGTGGTGATTGATGCATCACTCAAACAAACAGTCAAGTTTTGATAAAACTACCCAAATACACTTACTCATTGCACGTGAATATGATCAATACTTTATTTTAATATCTATATTAACAATTCTTAATATTTTTGTTTTTCTGAAAAAGTAGATCACCGCTGCAGTAGAATATTTCAGAGGTGTAAACATACAACAATCAATGAAATTGTCCTTTTTAAGGACAGTTAGTAATTAAATTAAAAATTGTATTAAGTGTTGATTGGATTAAGAGGAACACATAAAATGCTGTGTTCCAAAAATTAATTAATCTTTTAACTTCACTCTTGTATTATTATTTTTTGATATTAGATACAACTATCCAATGTGATGCAATCAAGAGCAGGTATTTGGCTTGTTTCAATTTTAGAATTAAATTCAAAATAGTTTATTTATTATATTCAATTATTAATTATAAAAATAGGTTCAACCTCATGTTATATGACATCATTACTTGCAGTATAATCTGTTTAGTTTGTTCAGTGATTGAAAAAAACCCTAAGACTGGTTAATATTACGGTAATGTTGCTAACTTACGCCTGTAACCCCTTCGTGGAGCATAGGTTGCCAAACTCCATCCTCCAACCTTCTCTGTCCTCGATCCACCTTCTCACTTCTACCTGATTGCTATACATTCTTTTTATGTCTGCCTCTAATTCTCGGCGTATTGATTACACTAATAAATCTATACAGTCTCTTTAATGAACACACACATACAGGAGGCTTAAATACCCTTATCTAATATTTTGCACTTTCTAGACAGCATTCGAATATAGTAGATTAAGATTATTTACAAAGATTTACCGGAATAAATTTTATCGACTTTCTATTTATCGCATTGTAGTCACTATTATTGACTAATTTAAATGATTAAATGAACAACTAAAATAAAATAACTGGAAATAAATTATTACATGGAAATTTATTATCTCTCAATTAATGAAAAACCACTTTAGAACATAATCTTATCAGCTTACAACTGATTATAATTTTTATTTCTCATTCCACCGAAAAACGGTTTTTGTTTCATAAATTCACTACGTCGAAATAATGTCAACATATTTTCTCTGTAACCAATCCGTTGAGATAAATTTAAAATATATTCAATAAATTAAATGTACATAAATTGTATTTATTGTCTGTGAATTGGTCCAGTAGATTAAACATATGCAATTCCAGACTGAACATATTCAAGGGTTAAGCTAAGAAGTGAATATATAATGTCATCAAATGTCTTGATTGTGTTACTTCACTATACATTTATACTGTTGGCTTTTTTATATACTTGATGTATTGTAAACATACTTATTAAAAAACGCATATTTGAACTGTTAGAAGGATAATGAATATACTTGTTTATATATGATAACATTGTTTTCTGTATTAAAATTGGGATTTCCGTCAACCACAATCCTTCAGTCATTTTGTTGAGTGTGGACAGAAAAAAATTGGATAAAAGGAGACAAAGATTGTTACAGTAAACCAGTGTATTGTTAAAAAAATGAATTATGATGTAATACAGTCTCATTTTTGTTTGTAAATCTAATTAAATCTCTCACTGAAAATTCAGTACTTGAAAATCTTTTAGGTTATGCATACTTATACACCTTTAGAACCTAATTGACTCGTAGAACACACTCTGGACATACTTCTTTTTTCAACTTGTTAAATTTCACTTCTATTACTCAATCATTGATGCATCGCAACTGTATGTTGTGACAGACCGCTGGAAAATGACATACTAGTTGTAACACCTGAATAGTGTTTTTGTATTATTAAGAAGATAGGTATTTAGACTGATAAAATTAGTTTACAAAGCAGATTAAACATCACTTAATTATCTACTGTGATCAGGAAGCTAATCCGATCACTAACCAAATGATTTATTTTATTAAGGGGGACATTAGTGTAAATAATAAATTACGCTAAGTAAGTTATTTTATTAAGTTGTTGTTCAATTTATTTAGACATCTTTATATCAATCAAGCACCACCTTGTTCTTTCAGTCGGATTATAACAGATACAAATTCCAAAGTTTATTTTCAAATTTACTGATCAAAATATTTGTGAAGGTCCATGTATACTTTGAAGCACACGTATCGTCACATGCTGATATCGACTGCAGAACTGCTGAAACGAGGATCAACGACCCATGTTTCTCAGCTTCAACCAAATCGTGAGATGTAGTTATACTCATTACTTGGTTCATAATAATAAAGGATACCATCTTTGAAGACAATCATTTCATGAGGATCAACTATCTTTTGAATTTATTTATAGACGATCTTTCTTTCAGATAACACTACATTTTATTTATAAACACAGGATTCATAAAAATAAATACACTGTATTGTCATGGCTTTCATACAGCTAAATGGTGAATTTATTTATTTTATTTTCATATGCAAAAACTGATTCCCAATTAACTATTACTCCTATCATCACTAACATTATGAATAATGTGAAAACTATGAACAAAGTATCTCATAATGTTTTTTTTATTTCGCTAACATTTTATTAAAAAAAATATTCAAACATACAACTAAATAACTTTCAGTTAAGAGAGGTTAGTTAGTTCAGCAAAATGAATCTAGTATATTTACCACATAATTTTTTGTGTTTATATTAGGTTAAGTGTAAAGAAAAGAAAATGTGGTTTTCTTCTGCATATCTCCCTATTTAGTTTGTGTGCAACTATTTATATTCTAAAGAATGCAAAATATCATTAACTGTGTATTTTGAAGAAAAATAAAATCGACTCGGTATTTTTCACCTTTGAATACAGAAAACAAAACAACTAGATGAATAATCATTAAAAATAAGATGGAGAGAAAGAGAGGAAAAGAGAGCGAAGAAACTGTAAACTACCATAAATAATGCATAGAAAATTCTATATGTATAGGTATTTCATTATTTTAAACAATAAAAACAAGAACTCATGATTACACATAATTCAGTTAGTTATATTATATACATTAATTGAAGAATCATTTTCATAAGTGATGATTATTTCACACTACTAACATACATTTACCAGAATACAAAGTGAAGTAAAGTAAAATAAAGTAAGCGAAATGAAATGATGGAATATGATGGTTAAAAAAAGATAGGCATATTCTTTAAGGTTATATAAAGTTTAGATTCAAAATCAATTCATAACGTAAGTGAATAATCATTTAAAGGTCAACAATTTAACCATAAAACATTCAAGTTAGTAATTTTTGTTGATATTGATATAAAAAAAATAATAATAATTAACATTTCAGTGTATACAGAATTTTATCAAAATAAACATATTCAATAGAACATTGAATTATCAAGCAATGGTTATGCTGATTTGGATTACATGAAAGTAACTTTAATGTTTCAAGTGTTCAGGTTTATACATTGTTTAGGAATGATAACTGAAAATAGTCACGTTTATTGATCGAAGATCATATGTTAATTGTTATGTTTTAGTAAGTATTCAAAGACTAATATTATTCATTTGAATAACAATTAAATGATAGATTCTATTCATGAATTTGAATAAAACATTAATGATAACATTTGTAGAATGTAATTCATCTTTACTGTATTTCGTAATATTCTTTCCAAGATTACAGTATATAACATAGTTATTTAATTTTAAATTTTAAAATCTTTTCAAAGTGAAATGGGAAGAGATAATAATCCAAAGTGGACTTGATTAAGCTTTATCTAGGTAAATAAAATAATATTCTTGAGATATTGGAAACGATTAGATTGTCCATTATAAATAATGATGAAATTTTTAGAAATAACTTACGATGGTATGTTCACTTTTCATCATGTAAAAATTTGAAACCTTGATCACAAAGTTCTTTTATTCG